ATCCCAAAACGTGAACAAACAAATTAAATTAGCAATGTGTCCAAGAAATCCACTATTCCACTCACTCCTTCCAGTAATAATATGCAGTACTCCCAGTTCACATTTCATTTAGAGTCTGCAGACATTTCTGCAGATAATGCAACAGGTCCTGTATTCATCGGCATCGCTATTCTTACTGGAGGCTAATAATGACAAGGCTTGAGTCTGAGACTCTCAAATCATTCTCCTTGTGAAGCTGGTTTATAAAAACTACTATGGTTTAACACAGTGCTGAAATATATAAAAATGAAAGGGGGTGAACAGAGAGACAGAAAAATTAAAAGTACATAATCATTAGTGTATGCCTTAGACTCTGCTTTTTGTTTGCATGTCATTTTCATAACCTGCATTTATGTCTAACTCTTTTTAACTCTTGTCCCTACTTGACCAGGCCAAGGAAAGGCTAGTAAGGCTACATGCTGCAGAATCTGGCCAAACTGCTTGTAAATCCCACATGCATCACTAGTCAGGAATGTATCCTCAGTCTGGATTATTTTAACCTTTCTTTCCAGATTGTTTTAACCTTTTTGTCCATCATGTTCCTTGTAGGCAAAATGAGGATAAGTGCTTCTTACAAAAGAAAGCCCGAAGATGAACTAGGCAAATAATAGCGGTACTGGGTACACAGTACGAGCAAGACAAATAGTGACTATTGTTACCAGATAGGATAATATCGGTACATATTTATGGATATCAGTGATACACACTATGGACACTGTTTAGTATGTAGTGCTGACCCAGCATAGATTTACTTTGCTTTTATGCAGACAAGTAAGATTTATATTTGTAGTACAGATACAAAGCCTGGGACTTGATCAGGACCATTTTGAAACATACACCTTGAGGGCTGCAGACAGACTAGAGAGCCACAAGATGAAATGTCTTTCCAAATACATCCCACTGTGTGTGCGGCTGCTGCTGAGAGTCACATCTACACAAGAAGCACAAGGCACTTCCAACTGTAGATGTTTGTATTATACTAAAAGATAAAATACACTGTATCAGCTTGGTGGTTCCCAACCAAGGCTTTTCACTTTGGCTATTATGTTTTAGTTCCCAGCGAGGCTCCTTGGTTTTACAACCTCTTCCCTCCGCACCTTTCTCTCTGCTTGTGTTCTTTATGTGCCCAATCATCCATGTGCACGACGCTGACAGTCATTTCCTCTTCAGCTGTTACCCTGGAGTACTTTTCCAGTCCTTTATAGGCTAACACTTTACAGGCATAATTCCTACCCACTTGCAACTTTTATTCTAAAGGAAACAAAACAAATTAGCCTAAGATTGCCAGAGTGTAATATTTTTTCAAACGCTACTCACACACTGGATAGTTGCATTCAATGCTCTTACCATTCATAGACAGGGTAAATTTAAACAAATCATTCTTTATTCACTCGGCTCGATCATAGTCCTCCTACATCTATACAATGACTTCTAGCATCCTCTTTGTACTTTATTAATTCTATCAAAAAATTCACTAAATTTCTTGTTCAAAACAACTAATCTTGAGTGATAAGCAAATGTTTAGTTCCAACCACTATAGAGAATCTTTGGTGATAAAAAATGAGATTTCTATTTAGTAATATTGTTCAAATACTTCAAGGGATAATTCCGGTTATGATATGTGTTATAAAATCCAGAACATATGATAATCCATCCATACCAATCACCGCTCAAGTGTCTTCCCCTAGTGTTACAAGTAAGTCCTCTTTTCTTGGGTATTTATCTGGCAAACTTGAATTGAACTTCAGTGCTCTCCCTTGAAAGTGATATGCTTATGCTTACCCCAAGGTCTGACACAGAGTGAGTGATGGATAAAATCTATAGGCTCAAAAAAATGTATAGGTAAATCCCAACTTTCCCTGTAAATACATTGGGTCTATAAATATAATAACCCTATCAACAGTCTTCATCTCAAGACCAGATACGATTACAAAATTATTTTTATTAAATTGCCTTTGATTTGGTGCAGTGATAACTGCCAAATCCTGAATCTGTAACTATTTGGACTACACACACTTCTGGACCATATTCAGAACTACTAGCAACATGTTTATCCTTTGTCTGACCCCACTTGAATAAAAGTTCCACAAGGGCAGGCATTCTTTTCTGTCTTGTGTGCTAAACCTGACCCATACTGTGGGAACGCACATTTGCTGGAGGAATGATGGCTGCTGAACACGGCTCACAGGCCCCTCTTGAGAGGGCTCTCCCGTACCTGCAAAGCCCTTTGCTTGCATCTTTCCTTCTCCAGTGCTGGAAAGGAGATACAAAATCTTTTCCCTGACTTCTGGCCCTTGCAGACAAGGATCCATGCCTTGAAAATGCCTCCATTCCATCCCTGTGTTGGCTCTTTTGGCCTGGCTGCCACCCTGTGAGAGCTGGGATCTGAACTTCAATGTCAACTCCCCTGACTTCTATGCCACACCCTTCCTGATAGGAGCTCCCACAGGACCTTCCATCTCCCCTGCCTCTTTGCTACTTCCTGTGTGTCCTCCAAAGTACCTCCAAATATGTGGAGCCCCAGCACTAAGCTGAGCAAGTACTTGACACAAACTCTTCTGGCTCAGTAGGTATTTGAGGAGTGAAATTAATGAATTAATGAATGACCTAAATACTGAATGCTAATATGTGCCAGAAACAGTTATCTACATCCAAAGAAACCAACACTCAGTGTATAGTACACATCCACTACGCTTACAAAAGAATGTAATGTAAAATACAATCAAGCACCACGCTGTTGAGCCTTTCTACAAGTTACAGGTATTCTTGAACGATTCACAGTAGGAGATGCCATGAAATAAAAAGCTCCAGCAATCAAGACTGTATGGTCAGAAAAGAAGTTCATGGGTAAAGAGATGGTTACTAGACATCCTGAGGAACGGTTTTATGTGACGAACAATTTAATTATTTATTAAAATAAAAAGTTTTAACTCTGCAGAAAGGCTATGTTTTCAACCCTCAAAAATTATAAATAAAAGCAGGCTATCATATTTTTGATGGAAAATAGAATATACAAAGATATGTGAAAACTTTTCCTTTGGGGCCACATACTACAAAACGTACAGGACTCTTAAAATAAATTTCACCCTATATGTTCATTGTATTAAACTAATAACACAGAATTCAGTAGAAGCACTCAAGAAGTAAAATAGAAAATATGTGCAATCTTGGAGATGAAGGTCTATCAAGTAACTAGACCAGCATGTGAGCCAGGAGCCACCATAACACTGTTTCTCAGCAGCTTGGGCTCAGCTCTGTATCCGCAAAGTGATCGAAACATTACTTGCACATGAAAATCTCACATCGGACAGAAGCAGCTCTATGGGTCCAGAGGTGACAGAACGTATTAGGGAATATTCTTATTATCTGCATCACCATTTTACAGGTTAACAACAATAAAATTTCATACAGTCAAAATGCTATAACTTAATAGGTGTACAGCTAAAAATATTTTATTGTATAAAATAAGTCCTACAGCATAGCAGGAATAATATTAAAAAGTACAATGAAATCTCCCAAGTACTCAATAAAATCATACTTGCCTACAACCCATTTTGAAGACAATTTTATACCATCCTTAGTTAGATATCTCCCTCCCTGCTCCACATAAGGCAAAGCATCCCTCTTCAGGATCATTTAGTCTTAGCTACAAATTACAAGCAAAAAGAAAGGATGTTCTTTTTAAAGTATTTATGGTGCTAACTGTCCTCTAATTTGGCTTTTCTTTCCTCTAAATTAGTAAAACTCTGTCAACATTTTTTCCTTTAATATAGGAAAAATTATTACTGCCACAAATATATAATGTTTAATTGTGAATGAATCTACAATTAAAGTCTATCATTCACATCATTATTACAGATGCAAACCTTTAGGGCCATTTAGATTAAATCTATCAGTTTGATGAAGAATTAAAATAAAAAGTAGAGATAACTTTACCTTTCTTTTTCTTTCAGTGGAAATATGCAGATTTTGACATATTAAATATTACAGTTTTTTTACTTAGAAAAATTACTAATAGGTGGTACAAAAATATCTCCATGGTAAATAATTAGGTGCTAAGTAGGTGATGACTCACTTTTACTGAGTGAAAAAGAAATAGAAGGATTTAAAAATAAGTACTTAGTTCTAGAAAAATTAACAGTTTTGAAAACTAAAACAATTCTTTGAAGTAATTTGTAGGTCAGAGATTTGTGTTAAAATTACAGGTACCTGGATCCTAGCCAGGACCTCCAGAAGGGCCTCTACAGGTGTAGCCCAGGCACCTGTATTATGTGAAAGGCCCACAGGGAAGTCAGGTGTACATCAAGGTTCAAAAGCCCTAAGATGTGGTCACATTTCCTTATGGAACACAGGGGCCATGGCATCACATACGAAGAATGCCATTCATGAGATATACTCCTGTATTGAGTTATAAGCACATTAGGAAATCATGGGATAAAGTGAAACCTGTAGTATCAAAGCTTCTTTCGAGCATCCTCTGCCTTCTCATTTGTCCTATTAGCACTTGCAAGTAAGCCAATTTCAAAGACTTTTAGGATATGTTTATCATTTGCGCCATATTTCAGGATCTACAGTCTGGATTCACCCAAAAAATACTGACCAATCAGTGAGTCAATGAATGCCCTGGCAACAGTAAGACATAGTAAATTCTTAATAAACATTAAACACTGTATAGTGGGGTTACTCTAAAAGACTGAAAATTTGGGGGGAAAGATGCTTAGTTGTTCAGTGACCACTCGGTGTATTTTTTAAAACAGACTGGCTTACTTCCTTTACAGCCAAATTTTGATGAAGTTCAACTAATAACTAAATAAAAACAACCATTTTAAGAAACACAGTCACTGTGTTTCTTTTTCTTCTCGGCATCTTCTTCATTCACCTAAGTTCTTGAAGATTTGGGGGTAAACACCGCGATGCTTTAGGGTTTTATTACTTTCCTTCCCCCCCTCACCCTGCATCACCTGTTTCAGCATGATCCTGATTTCTTTTGTATTTCTTCTTTCTCCCCTGGGAAATTTCTGTGTCTCTCTGGCATCTGTACCCGTCCTCCTTTGTGAACACTGAAGTGAAAAATTCATTTATTTTTTAGCACTGTCTCCATTGCCTGTCAATAAATTATCCTTTCTATATCTGAGGCTTGACACTTTTCAGACCTCCTGTTCTTGAGGTGTTTTGAGAGAGCGAGCTCCTCAGTATTTACCAAGCTCTCATAGGTTACCTTTCTTTTTCCTCTCTTAATTTGGGAAGTTTTTTTTTGTTGTTGTTTTTTTTTTTCATTTTCTCAGCATCTCCCTGTAATCATGTGGTCTTGTTCTCTATAACACTTGATGTCAACTGTGCCTCTTTCTTAATAAATAATTGCTCTGTGCTCTTCAGCTTCCAATCCTGTTAGCCTGACAGTTGAAATTTTTTATGGTGTATTGTTTCCTCTACAGCCTAACTGTGGGGTATTTGCCTGTTGGATTGATCTATGTTCACGTCCATTTCCTCACTGGGGGCCTTTCCTTCACTTCTTGCTCCTTTTCCTCATACCCCATCATAGGATCTGACCATCAAAGACAACTGCTACATTGTGTTTCAAGGCACAGCAAAACAGTTCCACCTGCACATCCTGCATTTTTCAGTATTTCAATCAATGCCTCAGATCATATTTTCTATGGAAAGCATCATTCGATGACCAAATCTGGTGCAACAACCCATACATCCAAACTTCTGCATGTGTCCCAAATTTGCATAGCCAAATCAAGCTTCCTACCTATTTTTTCCCTTGTCTAGTTTGACCACACACTTGTAAAGCCTCTAGCTGGATCATCATCATGCTCTTAAAATACTCTCCCATTCTACACTTCCAATCACATCCTTTGTTTCAGATAAAACTTAATCAAGAGGGGTTTTATGTAAGTTTCCACTTGTACATAATGATAAATAGCTTAAGCTACATTCAGTACATTCACAATCATTATTTTTCTTTCTTCACCATATATGGATACATCATATTTTATCTACTTCATTATCTCCAACCATGATTACGTCCATATTCTACTGCTTCTTACTACCTGATAGGCAGAATTTAACTCCTTTTGAACTGTAATTTTTATAACCTTTAATTATCTGCCAGTATTAGCTTCTACTTGTAATGTCAAATGATGTCTTTATCTCCATATTTTAAAAAAAATAAGATTGAAAATCAAGCAGTTACATTCTAAGTATCAGGAAATGCTTCTGTTTTTTGAATAGTACTACCACATCCATCAAAATGCAGTAAACTGCATGTGATATGTGTATTAAAAATTATTTCTCCAAACAACCCAAAATAGAACAGCTTTTAAGTTATTTGTTAGATAACATCTACTAAATAAGAGTAAAAAGTAGAAAGATTTGGCTTCTTTCATGTGGAACTAACCAAAGGAGCCAAATAATAATACTGGGTAAAACGGCCACCAATAAGCCAAACTCTTCAGCAGGCCACAGCATGGCATTTGTGTGTGTGTGTGTGGTACCAGGAATCGAACTCCTGACCTCACGCTTGCCAGGCAGGTACTGTGCCACTGAGCTATATCCCCAGCCCCATAGTGTGTTTTTATGTGGTGCTCTTTTATCCAAAAAGAACACCATGATACCCATTTAAAACAAGAGAAAATCTGAACAAATAGAAAGTGACTTTTCTAGGATCACTAAGAAATCACAATGATCCAGTCCCATGCACTAATTGGTAATGCTTTTAAGCACCACATTTAACTGAATTTTCTCATAGCACTAATGTTCCTCCACTGACACAACTTAGCAGGCAATGTATTTACAAAACTATAATAGCCTTAAAAGAATTAACAATGAACAATGTACAAAATAGTCAATTACAGGCTTAAACTTTAAACAAGCACTTACAATGAAGATTAAAAAAAAAACTATCTTGGCTATTGGGTCATTTTCCAGGCTACTAACTGCTAAACCATGTGCAGAACGTGCTTCCAATTTAACCATCCAGATTTTCTAAAAAGGCAGATAGCTTTGCTCTGCAGGCAGACTCATGTTGATCTTGAATTTGATTTTTAAAACAAGGCAGTTTGAAAGAAAACCAAGAAGCTTTTTGCTACAGATTATCAGAAAATGAAAGAAAGGAAAATATGCTTTATTTTAAAGGTTTTAATTTGTCTATCAATAAAACAAAAAAACATAACCTTCCAATAAAAGGGCAGTAGTTGAATAAATTCTAAGGTCTTGCCAGTCTCTAAGAAGTATTAGTCACAAGTCTTAGCTCTTCTGAGACTTAGCATTAGCAATGGGAGCCAATGCAAAAAATAACACATGAGAAGTCAGAATGATTTTTGAAAGCTACAGAGAAAATCTGCATACTTCGTAACTAAGAAAGCCCCTCTCAAGTCTTACAAATAATTAGGTAAAGTGAAACCTGAAATTGCAGAATGGTGAGCTCCCATTTCTTGATGGCACCAGATCAAATCCCACATGTAAGTAAATGAGCAGAATAAAAGCTAGATCCACAAAATTACTTTTGTGTTTCCACAAATGCGCAAATAACTTTGTCATAGTTCAGAATGAAAACAAAGGAAGGCCTCTTCCTTTTTGGAACTCTAGGCTGTAACACAAGTCCTACACACTGGTAGGATGAACCAAGATGGATTAGCTTTTCACATGGACCATTCATATTCCTGTGGGCCTGACCCAACAGAGGAAGCTAAAGAACTGTTCTGCAGCAGGACATCTGCAAGTGTAAAGTGTGGGCTGCCGTACCTGATGAGTTGTCATAGGTAAGTTGTGACAACTTACCAAGAAAAAAACCTAACCGTGGCTCTGATCAACCTAGACCTGGTATGAGGTTGCAGCATTTGGTCTTAAAGCAGGTTGTTGGGTCCTAATCCACTTCCTTCCTCTGAGCATGCTTAGCTGTCTGGTTATGCCCCAAGTAAACCTTGTTCTTAACATTTCCCTGGGAGCTCACATGCTGCTCTCCCAAGGCCTTGTTTGCCACAGAATGATGCTGCTGAAAATCTGTCGTGAGTCTGATTTTGTCAGTTTTAATATTTAAAGGCATCTCCTGGCAAAGGGCTACCTACTATTAGCGTAAACCCAAATTTTCATATAACCTTTAACACCTGTAACTTGACAACTAACACATCTTATAAATTTCTGTCTTAAAATCAAATGCAGATGAAGGAACAAGTAGGACTTTTGTCCATGTAGTTTTAAGGTTTTTGTTATTGTTGTTTTAGCTATTTTTTATGAGGTCTAACAAAGTAGCCAGATCATTACATATATCCTATGTATGGCACAGTAAATTTGGTGAATGATAAAACATTTGCCTCTCCCCCCATTAGTAGAAAAACCATTTGTCCTAAGCATGCTGACAGTACAGGAAAGGTCTAACAACTATAGAAATACCAAGCACAGCTCCTCACACCCCATGCAGTAATAACGACAAGTAATTATCACACATTCTGGTATTCTAAGGGCTCTTCTAGGTATTACACGTGCATTGCCTGTTTTATTTCACCTGATAATCTTAACAGAAGGATTTGATTACTACCTTCAAGTACGTATTAGGAAGCCATGGCTCAGGGAAACTGACATAAATAAGGTCACACAAGCAGTAAAGGGATTTCAGTCCAAGACTGCATGATCCCATCCTGCTTCCGTGTCAACAGAGTGAAAATATGCAACTATGGCGCATCTACAGAACAAACCCAAAAAGGAGAAACCAGATAAGGATAAATGTAAAGTTCCATTCCACACAAGTAAATAGAAGCCCTAGTTGTATAGCAATTAATGTTAAAAAAAAAAAAAAAAGATTCTTATAGACCTCAAACTCAATGGTCAGTCAATGCTAAAACTTGAATGAATAAATGTACCCTTTGATTACATTAATATTAAAAATGAGAGCAAATCTAATAAAGAGCAAACCAATTTTGGAACATTAAGCTAAATCCTAGGAAGAGGGAAAAAGACCTACTAGAATACATGCATAGAATAATGACCAGGAGCACAAGGTGGGATTAAACCATGTTCTATGATATGCTGAATATTTTCCAGTAATGTTTTTGAAGAAAATGAGGACTTACGTCCTCAAAAATGTGTAAAAGCAAGCAACACATGACACTAGTTAGCCTCAGAGGAAAAAATTAATGCCTCAGACAGCTACAGAATTGAGAACTTTCTGGAAAATAGGGCTGTCAAAATGGAATAAACTGCCTCATCAGAAGGGCTGCCCTAACCTCATCAGTAGTTACCTCTCGAATGCAGGGAATGACCAAGCAGAAGAATGAATGCCAGTTGGGGAGCAATTCATTCATTCATTCACTCATCATAGTGTCACTGCTGGGTTAACCACTTTCCCACATGTTCAATCTAGAAGGATTTCTACACTGAAAGGAAGCTGATACAAAAAAATCAAAGAAATCAAAAAAAGCTCCAAATTCTAATCATTCTTAAGAATGCATGATATCTTGCCAAAATAGTGCCAAAATAAATGTATACTCTGAAACAAGGGGAAGGGGAAGCGAGTGAGTAGGGGGATGTTAGTAATAAATGATTACATATAACAATGAAAATGATTAGTGATTAAACAAGAACTAACCAGTTTTCTTGAAGATAGCATGTTGGTATGGGGAAAAAAGACAAGCTAGAGGAATTTTCAGTTTAAAACTGGTAAAGAGCAAAATCACTAATCAGAAAATAGGCTCACTTTTCTCTCTGGGTAGTTCATCCCATTCTAAAATTTTACTAATAAAAATGAGGTGTTGCATGCCAAATCTGCAATCTTATCCCAAAATCACAATTTTGCCTATCCACAAACATCTGAAAAATTCATCACACCCAAAGCATAATTTACCATCTTAATCCCCCCAAACTTACTTCTCTCATGTTCCCCATCTTAATGGATGGCACTGTCATTCAGCAAGAGGAAAATTATCAGGAACCAATGGTGACCCCTCCCTCACCAATCAGCTGCCAAGTCCAATCATTTCCATCGCTTTACTATCACTCAAATCCATAGCCTCTTCTTCATCCCCATTACTCTTGATTCAGTTCAATCTGTCATCATTTC